CCCCCCCCCCCATTTCAAAGGACTTCATTGAATTGCTCAAATACCGATTTGTCATTTTAGAGCGACAAAATAACTGAGGTTGATCTGTTTTTGGAAAACTGCTCGTCGCTGTACAATCTCATTCTTGACGCACTTCACAATCTATCATCAAAGGTACGTCCGTCTTCAGAAGCTCTTCTCTCATTCTATCTTTTTTGCATTTTTTGCAAACTTGCTAATTGTGCCTCTTCTTATGAGTATTTTGAATAATATTCTGAACATGTTCCGATCCCAACAGTTTGCCCACTTTCCAACGTTTTTAATATCGTCTTTGACTGCTGGAACGTAATGAACGCGTAAACGCCATGCGGAGCTGTAGCCCAAAGAATCACGGTTAATAAAGCTGGTAGAATGGAGTGCTGTGCATTAGAGAAGTAGGCGGACCGAACCGATTTCACGTTTGGAAATTAGGAACCGTGCAACATTGGACTGGTGAACATTGAGGCTTTGCTGTTACTTAGAAAATGGACGAAGTTGCAGGCGTGCACAACGCAAATTCCCGACATTTCCATCTGGCGCTTCGTACTTCTGTTCCAAGCAGGAAAGTCATTGCTGTTTGGACCCACAACTTAAAAAAAAAACGGGTGAATCATCAAAAATAACAAGAAGTCCGGATTGAACAGGAAGTTTGTGCGATAACACTGGCGATGCTATAGTAAGACATGTCGGTGTGAATTTCAGAATGAGACTTTCGTTAGACGTTGTATTCCAAATGGTGACCACCACAGTACTGAAGTCGTACTCAAAAACAAACTTTTGATCGACTTGTGTAAACATGAATGTTTAATGTTTCAATTAAAATTTTCATTTATGATCTTGAGATTTGTTGCAATATAGGACTGAAAAACTGTTTCTGTGTATTTTTCAATATTTATTGGTTAGGGTCATGCGGTCTGACCATCTATTCCCAATATGTAGAACCTCGAATCGGCGGTCTTATCTGTTAGTGGCCGCAGTCTGCATTGCTACTTTCGGGAGTGTGGATAAAGCTAAGTCGAACAAGTGCTTTTGAGGCACAAAGTCTCGAGTTTGAAGCGCAACAACGACAACCATTCATTTGTTTTTCATAAATATAACAGGTGGGGAGTTGCGAAAGACTCAGTAGTGAAACTTCATAATGATCTCCTCAAAACTTCGCTTTTGCGGATTCATCTGTGACGTGAGCCTAGGTTTACAGCAGTAATATTGCCTGTTCTCCACCCTTGTTATTTTTTGTTTTTTTTTTGATTTTTATGATATTTCTTGATGTTTTTTTTCTTTTGTTATGGAATTGTGGGATCTACACTTCATTGTTTATCTCGATATCCAACGCTACCGCTTAGCGTGTCCGTTAGTGTGTGTATGAGCGGAAATTCGTAACTCCTGTTTCCCTGGGACTAAAGAGTTCAAATTTGGGCGAAATACAGGCTGCGGGATGGGAATACTGACAGTAGACCGTAGGAGGTGATTAAACAATTGATAGGAACTGATAAGAGGCCTTAGAAGATGAAAACCACTGGAAAATCCACTAATACCCTTTCTGCCAACAGCGGAACCTTGGTACTTTAATAGGTGGTGTAGGATAAAAGGAACGTAGGTGATCGGTGAAAGAACTAATCAGACCTGGTATGGGGGGGGGAGGGGGTTGGGGGCTCAGAGAGCAGAAGCTACCTACCAGTTGAAATCCCAGCCCCTTCTTTATTTAGGATGTAGCTCGAATCTTTGAAATATTCCGTTAAATAAGATCGGGATGTAGAGTAGGATGGCAGAAAGTGTGTAGTAAGTGTGGTGATAGAGACCGGTTAAAGACGCTATATTATGAGGAAATTTGAAGTCTTCTATATGACTTCGGACGGAGCTAGTTTCGCTTTGCACACTTTTGCGTTTTTTGTTTGAAATCGGATTTTTTTCTGGCACCCCAGTGAAGAGTATTGATGAAGTCAGCCAGCACTTTTTCTTTTCCTGATCACGTCACAAACAATGACCTCTACACAACTAATGGCGCGTTTCTCTCGGGTGTTGGCTCCAAGAAGTCTTAGAAAAAAGATGCCTTCCAAAATGGTTTTGAAAGCAGAGTGCCCAACCTTTCTTTGTTCAGTGAAAGGTACGTTAGCTGTCCGAAAATGGTCAATTATGTGAAGTCTCGATCTTTTCTCTACACGAAACTTTTGTTGGCCCAAACACCTTATTACTGTAATGATCATCGATGTATCATGCGCGGCAGGATCCTGGTCTTAGTGATCAACAAATAATTCCATGTATTCTGAGGGTAGGAAACAAAGTACGATTATACAATCATTCAACACTCATACGAAAAAGTCGAGGACTAGTGTGTACACGAGCCTTAGACAACAACTCGCTTCGCGAGACCATCCCTCTTGCCCATACTCGCTCATAACCTTTCCATACTGCACATCTTATGCACGCATTTCAAACTGACGATTTGATTCTAAAACCGTGGTCAGATAGGGATAGAGGAAGTCAGGAGTATAAAACAGTCCGCACGATTCCAGCAACCACAGCGACCGGATCGAGAGAGTTATTGGTGTGGCTCTGAAGATCTGATTAACAATTTAAGAGACACGACATTGTTCAATTGCGATTAGGTGGTGAGCAGTGATGGTCTCAGCATTACCAGTACGCGACGACATAAACAGTTGTGGCATAATAGCAACTGGTTCGAGATAAATAAATAGAAAACGTTTACATTAATCAGGATCGATCCTCAGTTGCGCTCTAGTTTTAGTATTTTTTATTTCGTTTGTAGCAGCTCTTATCTTTCCAACGTGTTCATTTCTTAGACCGTTTCAGATCGTATTGCATTTCTTCCTTTATTTCACTACTTTCTATTTTCCGTCTCTCTCTCCGGAGCAAGGAGTCGGTTGAGGGATGTTGGATTTCGATTATGCTGTGAACTTCATCTATACATACGTGTTCCAGCTGTTTGAGGAGCCTTTGAGACGATGAATGCTCTGACTCAAGGTCCCCCTTGGGAACTCGCCTTTATTTCCCTGAGGCATTGTTCGTATAGGGCTGAGATGTCAGCAAGTTCCAGAGGAGTACAAAGGCCCCATGAGGTGCGCCCTCTATGTGTCTTTGTACCGCGGATTAGAACCTTGGTTAGATACCATTTTTTCACAGAGGAGAGCAGCTTACATTCACACATAAGGGAGGTCCCAGTGTGATCCTGACGGCGTCCCTTCATGCGATATTCTTGCTCTGTTTTCTTTGCCCTCTTTTTCACAGTATGATGTCTTGCCCATAGTCTTGGGCTCTGCCTTGAGGCTCTCTCTTTTTTCTTCCTTCAGCCAAGAAGCTTGCTCCTTCTTCTTCTTTCAGAGCATTTTCCTCTTGTTCTTGTTGACACGAACTGCCTCAGAGTCCTGCTTTTATATTGTGGGGCACCCCNAATTGGATGTATTCAAGTAAATAAATAATAATTAACTCCATGAAAGTGAATTCATGTTTCACTAAAAAAGCAAGAATGGCTGCAGGGATCACCGAATATTCGTTACGTAGAAAATCATTAATCTTGTCGTAAAATAGTTTGAGTTTGAGCCACATCAAGTTAACCGTTCCATTAGAGGGAGCGAGGAAGAACACCTTTATCACAGAATTGTGAATAGAAATGGAATCTGTTGGGAGATCTAGATAACAAGGCACGAAAATGATAGCAAATAGGGCTTTAGATTTCATATTTTGTTGAGTAGAATAACGAAGGAACTAAGTTGGCGAGATTGATCGTGAGATATTCATTCTCGCTACCCCAGTACCCTCAAACTTCGTAGTTGAAGGTTATGGCTTCCAATTTGACTTCTGTGAATTGTTCCACCGCTGCTCCCTCTCAATAGGTGTTTGCCAAATGTTTTATGTTGAGTGTCCTTATCGCAGTACACGGAATCTTGTAATCGTAGTTGTGCTTTTCGTTCCACTACCGTTAAGGGCACAGTTCACGATAATTTCAAAGTACCCTTTTATTAGGCTGATGCGTAATTATCGCGGATATTCTTCGACAAATTTTGATTTAAACGAGTAAAATATGTAACAATGTGCTCAAATAATTACTCCGGAACGTATCCACCATCTTCTTCAAGCACTGCTTCCCATTTGCCACGCAGTCGGATTCAACAGGCGAAGAAGTTTCGATTCTTAGAGACTCCTTGGATTGATATCGGCCATCAAGTCATCCATTTCGTTTTAATCTGTTCGCTAGCCAATTTGTCAACGAACGGTCGACGTTATAATTCACAGGACTTTCTGTCGGTGAATATGGTGGATTCAGGAGCAAATTCTATTCCTTACTTGGCTTTTGCTGATTGTTCTATCGCCAAAAAGTTCGTCGAGATCGCAAAATAAGCATGGTGTGGCGAATGCTAATGTGGTTCCGTAGATGTATTTCTGTTAGGGAAGACGAAAGATTATTCCTATTACTCGATTATTCCTATTAACTTAATACTCGAATCGCACTCGATGGAGAAGAAGCCGCGAAAAAATCCGCAATAATTGTGCATCAACCTGTTAAGTTTAAAAGTAGAAGTTTTGATGGAGAAAATTGCACCGGCGGCGGAGAAAGTTAGTAAGTCTTCGCAAAAATGAAGCTTCTTGAGACGAGAAATAGGGGTTGTAAGAGATCACCAGGACGGGTGGCGTATAGGGGGTATTTTGACGAGATTTCAGTTTTTGCCATTCCGGGGAATGCATAAAGAGCTGACATGTTCGAAACTGCCTCCCACTGTTGTCATGGTTGGTCCTTTTAATTTTCAGCATAGGAGCCCCTCGAGATGGTGCAGCCTCTACAACGCCGATAGAAACTCGTCCGCTCTTGGTGTGCCAGTCAGCCGGTTCAAACCCTGGACTTTATAACGTCCTATCAGGCCCTTCGGCGTACTGATAGTGCCAAATATGATACAGAGACGTCACAGATTCATCAGGAGGAGATTTCTCTGAAACCATTTTTACCACTGTGCCTTTAAAGGCACGGTTCACGATAAGAATTGTTACTGCGTTCCCCCCCCCCCCCCCCCTAGGAATACTCAGTGGCCCCCGAGCTTAGTAGAAAGGACCCTTCCGCGCTCAAAAACTCGACGGTTACCTGTTCCCGGCTCGCGCAGCCATCTCGCCCCTCGATCGATGTCACGTCAAATGAGTGTCGGGGCGATACAGATTGCCAATTTTTGCTCTAGGATCCGCACACAATCAGCTGATCGCCGAGTAGTGAGGCGATGTTTTCTTCCCATTCTTTTGTCCTCTGTTATTCTTTTAGCTGTTGCGATCCCTAATATAATATACTACTCCAAGAGGCTGAGAGAGTTGGGGGTATTTTTGCTGTTACTAGGGTTTTTTTGTTAACCTATGCTTGCGAGTGATTGAATTTTTGCTCACCGTAGTCAGAGATTCGCACCAGGACCCACACATAGGCACTGACACACATTGCATAGCTCGTCCAAACGCCCCATTCTTCATTTTTTAAGTCTCACTCTCGTCCAGGAGACTTTCTAATGATTTTTCGAAACCTTTTTTTACTTTGGGAACACCGATTCCCGCAGTTTCTTCGCCTTCATCACACTATTTCTACCTTGTCTTCCATTTTTCGTCATAGTCTGTATTGCACAAAATTTACGTGAATTGTGTACTTAACCCTTTGACGACAGCGCGGCTCAACGGTGAGCCACGGTTTTTTGGGCGCGTGGGACAGCGCTGCTCAACGGTGGACCGCACCCTTCTCATTGGTTGTTTTTCTCGATCATTAGTTTTACTTTGAGTTTTATGTATTCAATGGGTTTGCAATCATCAAATAACACTATAACAAAGTGGGCCAAGAAAAACATCGCTAATTACTGAAAATCCTTACTATATATAAAGCGCTCTGTCTGTCTGTCTGTCTGTACGGAAATTCGAGATAACCTGAAGTAACACCTGGAGAAGTCGGGTCAAGTTTGGAATAGGTTGAGCATAGGGTAAGTGCAACAGAGCACATGTGAGCTTGGCGGAGCTCCTCCCCCAAGGGGCGGGGCATGCGCCAGGATTGGGCGGGGTCATGGACTAATTCTTCTATTTCGGTCTCATAACAGTCCACACGCTGGGAAAAAATGTGCAAAGGTGAGGAACGGGTCTACAACTAAAATAAGGGAAGCTTACCGGCGGTGGGCGGAGCGTTCTCGCAGTGGGCGGTACCTTCCACAGAGATTCATAACTCGATTCAACAAAGGCATCGAGGCCAGGAAAA